TGTTATTTTGCATATATTATTTCAGTTATTTTTGATCATTATTTCAGTTATAATATTTTGGTTATAGTCTTTGTTATATTTTTGTTAACAATAATTTGGTTACATTAGTTCAGTTATGGTTTTGGTTATATTATTTTGACTATCATATTTGTTATGTAATTTTGATATGCTATTTCAATTATACTTTGGTTATAAAATTTTGGTTATACTATTTTGATTTTATTATTGGTTATACTATTTTTGTTATAATATTTTGGATACATTATTTCAGTTATGTGATTTTGATTGCTATTTCAGTTATAATATTTAGGTTATATTTGGTTAAAATTTTTTTTACATTATTTCAGTTATATTATTTGGTTACATTATTTTGATTATATTATTTCAGTTATGCAATTTTGATTATTTCAGTTATAATATTTTGGTTATAGAATTTGGGTCATAAAATTTGTGTCATCTTGCTTATATTATTTTGGTATGTCATCAATTATATTATTTCTATTGTATTACTTTGGTTATATTATTTGTATTAATATGAATTCTTTAATAAAAAGGACTCAGTTGACTCATAAAGCCTCCAGCTCTTCACTGTGAGATTATACCAAAGTATTCTGAGGTGGTAAAAACAAGGTTTGGGGAAGGGAAAGGGGAGCAGGCATGCATCCCTAAAAACAAAGTAGGAAGCATTTCCTGGATACCAAAGGAAGGAACCCCAGAGTCAGAACTCCACCAGAGACGCCAAGGGCATATAGATGGGGCTAAAAGGTTTTGAACATCTAAGCCCCAGAGAAGCAGAAGTGCCCAGGCATGAAGCATGATTCATTAGTCCTGGGCTGCTTCCCAGGTCCTGGGCTTGCTCAGTGTTTAGGTTTTATAGCTGTATTATGCCATTTTCAGATAGAAACTGATTATGGAGCTTGTTTCTAGAAAATGTGACGCCAGACAAACTGTCCAGCTCTTCACTTATTTTCCATAGGAATCCCCGATTTTCCACAGGTTCGAAAGGAATCTGGTATCTCATGGGCAAATGCAAGATGAGTATCCCTTATCCAATGCTCAACAATTTCAAGTGCTCAAAAATTCAAAAACTTATTGTCAACATAACAATAAAAATGGAAATTTCCATACCTGCCCTTATATGATGAGTTGTAGTCTAAACACAGGCACTCTTAAATATTGTATAAAATTACCTTTAGGCAATTTTCAAATTCACTTACACTTAAATCTCACAAGACTACTCTCAGAGACTTCTAGAAAGCAATGTCACTGTTAGATACTGTGTCAGTATATAGAGTCTGACTCAACACCTTGAGAAAGGTGACTTTAAGACCATCTTTCAGACTTACTGTGTCACTGTACTCCAAAAGCTTTCTCAGAGTTTGCTCAGGAATCCAGCAAAATGAGAGTTCACATAGGAACCAGATGGAGGGAGCAAAGGATGTGGACTCCCTGGCAAAGCTCCAAAATTCAGAGTGGAGACACTGTCATAATTGGTTTGAGTTTACTATAGACAGTAGCACAGGATGCACCCTCTTTTCTGCTGTGACCAGGGCCAGGGGAAGAGAGCTCCACCACCTCTCCCTCTGAGGGATGGAAAACAGCTGAGGTCAAGATAATCAGGAGCCAAGTTCACATGTGTCCCACATACAAGGCACAGAGAATTGACTCTCAAAGGAACAAGTGCAGAAATGGGGAGTTTGGAGTGAGGTGACAAGAGGCAGCACCCATGTCTTACTCTGGGAACTGGAAGAAATGTGCCAGGACAAGGACAGACAGGTGGAACCAGTCCCCATCATCTGGAGCACTAGGAAGGCTTCCCACAACATTGATGGTTGGAGGAAACCACCTGCTTAATTTCTAGAATGATACAATAAGCAATACTTAAAATACCTCTCTGTGAAGTGTGATTACATGCTACCACTGTGCTGCCTCCCCAGCCCGAAGATATGTTTGGTATGGGAAAGATGTGCACAGAAATGAGCATAGGACAGTGGAAGAGAAACAAGGGGCAGCTGCCGGCTTCCCACCTCTTCCCCTTTGTCATGTCCTCCCATGAGATGACCACCAACAGAGAGCTGGTAGCAGGGCTTGAGTTCTTAAAGCATGTGATCTACAGCTCTACACAGTAGATATGGGCCAAGGAGATGTTGGCTCACTGGGTCAAGGAAATTGTGTCAAGCCTGACAAACTGAATTTAATCCCCAGGTTCCACTTGGTAGAAGGAGATAACAGACTCCTGCAGGTTGTCCTTTGACATCT